TTCTCTCAATGGGACTCTAACTGAAACTCTCATTAATCACTGAGAAACTATATGAGCAGGCTATTCAACCAAGCAATCCTTTGTTCAGTGGCTGCATTTTCTATCAGGGGTCAATTCCCACTATTGGGTTTTTGTTTGTTCGGGGGGTGGTGGTGGTTTCTTCTTTCCCATTCAGTTTTAAAATGTTTCTCTTTCCGATGTGCTGTTTGCTAAGATGAAAGAATTACTACAGTTTCCAGCTGGCATTGGGGATAAAGCATTTATACAATGATAGACTCGTAATGTCTATGAAAATAATTCAATATTACGTGTTTTAAGTTAAGTTACATTTAATATCAGGGAGGAAAAAAAAAATATAAACCTTGCACTAGCTTTGTTTCCAGATGAGGTTAGTTAGTTGATTTACCTGAAGAGATGAAGAATTGAATATAGGTAGGGCCTTCTGCACCCAAACCATTGGCTTTCCTATCTATAATTCTTTCTAGGCATCAGCAGGACAGGAAAATATTTTCATTTGCATTTTAATGACACTTACAGCTCATCACTGAAACTGCCTTAGGAATGCCTGAAAAATGATATTTTTAATTAAAAGGAACTTCTGTGTAAACTGCTGTTGGACTATAGACTAGAATAAGATGAAACTTGAAAAACACCCTAGATATATCTAGTCTGTAGCAAATGACCTCAATAGTACTTTCCAGATGTTTACATGGATGCATCTCAGAAATCAAGAAGAGTAAAGCTGACTTAAGGAACTTGATTTAATGACAATGACAACAACAACAGCATAATCCATCCCAAATAATATGTTCCATTAATTTTAAAGGATGCTATTTGGTCATATATTTAACTTTCTCACTATACACATACAAAAGTATTTATGATGGCTATCCTCAATCCTATAAAAAGTTTTCTCTGAATTTCATTGATCACAGATGTGCTTATTTCAATCTGTTTGTTGTCTTTGCCTGCCTGTCTGCCTGCCTAGCTGTCTTTTTCTATCCATCCATTCTAATCTTCATTCTATGAAGGAAGAGTGATTTTGTTGTCCTCTTCTGTTATGAAGGTTGCTGTTATGTAGTTTGCAGTTGATGTCCTATTCTCCCAGTCATTTGTATGTGTTTTTCCCCATTACTTTTTTATGTATAAGCTATCCAGAGTTATTGTGGAGTTGGGTGACTTCAAAATGTTATTAAACAAATAAATAAATAACACACACATCCAGACATACTGTGTCTTCCTCCTGTAGTTTCTCTTAAGCAAATACAGTTCACTTTGTCATCCTGTTTCTGAGGATTCACTGTGTTTGTTTCTCCTTCTTGCTCCTTTCTTTTAGTGGAACATTTATTGATTACGTTTTGGAGTGAAATAAACTCCTACGGCAGAAAGTTGTGACTAAATTAGCTACATCATGATTAGCAAATAGAATTGATCTTGCTTCAATTATGCAGATTCAATTAGATACAGTAGATCTGGAAGTTTGAAGATACCAAAACAGGTTCATTTAAAGGCAATTGAAACAATCCGCAGAATTAGAGATTGAGGGAGAGATTTAAGGTTTAAAGCTCTATCTAGTGGTCAAACAAAGAATTAGCAAACTGAAGTATTGTTCTGGATAAATTCTTGAATATTATTCTTCATCTTGATGCAAAATGAGCTTTCTTTCATAGATGTGTTGAAAGTATTTATCACAAAGAATCTATGAATTGTTTTATTTGACCAATATGAGGAAATAGTCAGCATATCTATATAAAAACAGGGATACACTCAGTTTTAAAGTTCAGCTCAACAAATTTGCTAATTTTGCTATTTCAATATTTTTAACTGGAAATAAGCATTCTGTATATTGCATATGAACATTCACAGGTAAACTGATTTTTTTTTCTTGCATATAAGAAAATTATTCAATCTTTCTCTTGAAAGGTCCAATGCATATCAAAAGGCTTTATAATGTTTTGCTAGAAAGGGATTCAGAAACTGAATTAGTTAAAGATTGTATGATTAAGTGGGCACAAAATTTTGAAGAACCAGTGATGTTGGAAACATGGGAAAAAAATTGGGTTCAGAATGTTAAATTTACACAGTCGCAGAACCTGAGGGAAAATTTCTATAAAATGTTTTATAGATGGCATTTAGATCCCAAAAAGTTGTCATGTATGTACCCTAATGTTCAGCCAAAATGTTGGAGATGTGAATGTTTGGATGCTACGTATTATCATGTTTGGTGGACCTGTAGGAAAGTTAAGGCTTTTTGGATAAAAATTTGGTGGGTCATGCAGAATGTGTTGAAGAAAAAAATTCAATTCTCTCCACAATTGTTTTTATTGGGTATAGTTAAGGGTTTTACATCGGGTGAAACAAAACTGATATTGCATATGATAACAGCAGCAAGATTGTTGATAGGTAAATGCTGGAAAAATGAAGCTTTGCCCACTATTGAGGAATGGACTTTGAAGATGGCCAGTTTTGCAGAGATGGCGAAGATTTCAGCATACTTAAAAGATTGTTCACAAGAGACTTATGAATGGGAATGGAAAAGATGGATAGAATATGTTCAGAACAAATATCAAACTAGAAAGTATCAAATAGCTTTTATTTGAAAATAATGTTTTAGAAATATTTTAATGTAATGAGGTAAAAAGAAAAATTATACAGGGGAGGGAGGGGTTCAAGTTTACACATAAGTGTCATATTAAGGGTTTTTTTTTACGAGTTATGAGTATATTATAGGGAAGTCTGGGGGGAGGGGAGGGTTAGGGAGGGTTAGGGAGGTTGGGAAGTTTGGGGTGGTGGTGGTGGTGGGGGAAAAGGGGTGAAAATGTAATTGTAAAACTTTTGCAATAAAAAAAAAAGAAAATTATTCAATCTATTAGTTGGGTATTTTTAATTTTAATGTTATGTTATGTTATGTTATGTTGTGTTGTGTTGTGTTGTGTTGTGTTGTGTTATGATATGATATATGATATGATATATGATATGATATGATATGATATGGATGGAGAGAGGGAGAGAGAGAGAGATCAAAATTACTTTCAAGTAAATATGGATAGGACTGCAGTTTCATATATTGCTAGTTTTCAGATTTTACTAACCATTTGCTGAAATTTGAAGAGTTTTACCTTTAACAAAAGATGAACAAAGTTGAATCAAAACAATTCCATTCTCAAGTTGCAGTATTACCATATTAGGTTAGTTTTGCTAACATACTAATCCAGGAACAAGTAACATTAACACTGGTAGAATTTTAATCAATCAACTGATTTAACATTGACTTTCTTCGCATATACTAAGTGCCAGGATTCTTTTTAAATCAAAGTTTGCTGACCAAACCTTAATGATCATGTTTTCATCTACAGTAACATTAAGTCACACTGAGGATTTTCACATGACACTGCAAGTCAAACAAAGCATTCACTTTGTGTTTTAATGTGATGCATGAGCCCAGTCATTGATCAATAGGTAAGCATGAGAAATTTATTTTCTTTTTTTTAACCACACAGTTCAAAGAAGTCCTCCTCTGTCTCCTAAGGGTGTAGCAGTTTTCCTGAGACTGGCCTTCTCCCACTCTGATAGAACAACTTCTTGCATTCCGAGTCAACCCCAGGCATTCTTCCTTCCGAACCTATGGAATTTTGGGCTGGAATTTGCATCATCCTAATACTTTGCTTTGCTAATTAAAGCAATCTTCACCTTCCTACATTGTTTGGCAAGCTAAATTTGGCTACTCTGAAGGGTTAAGAAGACCAGGCAGTCCTATTTGCCCTGGAGTGCCATCCAGAGGTTCAGGATGTAATTTCTGTCCTCAGATGTTTACAGTGAGGGGCAAGCTTGTATTAAGAGGATTGTAGGTGTCTGTATACACACACACACACACACACACACACACAGAGAGAGAGAGAGAGAGAGAGAGAGAGAGAGAGAGAGAGAGAGAGAGTATATACATAAAAAAGCTATGAGAGCTGCAAAGAGCCATGGAAAGATACATGCTCAGCATTACAAGACAAGATAGAAAGGCCTGCATGTGGATTAGAGAATAAACCAAAATATGTGATATCTTCAGGAGAGTAAAAAAATGGAAATGGAAATGGGCTGGTTACATAGCAAGAGGACCTGATGGCACGTGGACCAAGGCAGTCATAGAATGGATTCCACTTGATGAAAAGCATCCACGAAAGAGACCTAAAACAGGATGGATCGATGACATCAGCAAGTATTGCGGGCTCAATTGGCAAAACAAAGCTCAGGACCTGTATTGGTTGGAAACATGCGGAAGAGGCCTTCATCCTACAGTGGATAGACAATGGCTAAAATGATGATGATGAAATAGACATATTTATACATATTGGGTTAGCTGTATTATGAGCTCCAAATTGGTATACATGTATACCGATTCTCATATATTCTATCATCTATCTATCTATCTATCTATCTATCTATCTATCTATCTATCTATCTATCTATCTATCTATCTATCTATACACACACCATCATCACCACCATCATTTTAGCCACTGTCCATCCACTGCAGGATTGTCCATCCTCTTCCACATGTTTCCAACCAATTAGGGTCCTGAGCTTTCTTTTGTGAATATATATATAACACTTGGATAGAGTATATAACACTTGGATGGGGTTGTTCCTCAGCAACAATACAGTTAAGAACAGAAATAGCTTATTTACCTCAGGTAAATGGATTTTTTAAAAAGTGCCTTTATGTCGACTGTTTTCTAGAACTCAAAAAGCAGCCTAAAAGCAGCCCCTTTCCCTCTCCCTGGCTGCCTGCTGATACTGCTCTTCGTTTTCCAGCTTTCCTCAATTCAAAGCTGCTGTTGCATCAGCCGATGCGCTTGGGCACCTTGGGGAACAAAGAGGGCTGGAGGTGGGTGGGTGGGAGAGGCGATTTTCCGGGTCATTTGGCAATTGCATTCATATTTAAACTTCCTTTAATCGCCCCGCAGTTCTTCTCTCCCTCCTGTCCCCGAAATGTGTGGTCTCTAACGCGTCACCCGCCCTTGCCTTGCTCCTATATACTTTTCGACAGATGCCCACGAGGAAATGAAGCTCTAGTTTTGTGCGGGTTGAACGCAACGGTGTATAGGTGTGCAAAAAAAAACCAACAACAGTGTATAGGTGTGCAAAAAGAACACAACCCCTTCCCAGCCAGACAGGCCTCGCTCTCCTTTTTTTTTTTGAGGAGGGAAGGAGTGAGGTCTTGTGGGGAGCGGTGCGATTTCATAAAAAGCCCCCCCCCCCTTTCGTGCGCTTTCTTTGCTCTCTCTCTCTCTCTCTCCAGAGGTTCCCGCACTTTTTTTAAAAAAATTTTTGCTTTGCACGCCGATCTCGCGGCTGTGCCTATTCTTTATACCCTCCTCGGGACGCCAACGGATCGGGAAGGCAGCCGGGTAGGAAGGGAAGGGAAGAGACCACCAAGCGGCTTCGGAAAGAGAATCCCACCGCCCAAGGTGGGCTTTCTCTCCCGCGATCGATCCAAGGCAGCCGAGCAGGAAGGCGAGGCGAGGCGAGGCGACTTAAGGGAAGAGTGCTGGAGATCTGGAAAGCCATCCCGACTCCCTTGTAACGCGAGCTCCACCTCGTCCCAGAGCAGGTCAGAAGCTGAAGCCTGCAGGGTGTCCCCTGGGCAGTGATGTCATCCAGATCAATACGACGGGGCGGGAATTGGCCGGAGCACTTGCTGAGGAGCGGGGTCTGTATTGGAATCGGCATTCGCCTTATCGATTGGGCTGATCAGCGAGAGCTATAAAAGGAAGGGGCTCGCCTGCTGCTTCCGACATTCGCTCCACGAAGCCCCTCCATCTCCCCCAGGCTGGGATCTCTTCCCCCACCCTCCCCAGTTTAGGAACCTCGCGGCGCGGTGCTTACGGTCTTTAGGGCTTGGAGGGAAGCCCCCTCCCCACCCCCACCCCCCCTCAGCCGCTCCTTCTGCTAGGATGGGGATGGAGGTCTGCAAAACCCGCGCCGCGCCCCTGGCTCTGCTGGGCCTTTGCTTCGCCACGGCCGTCAAGTCGGTGCCTCTGGCCGATGCTGGACCGCACGTTTACTACGGCTGGGGAGACCCTATCCGGTTCAGGCACCTCTACACGGCCAGCCGGCACGGACTGTTCAGCTATTTCCTGAGGATCCACGGCGACGGCCGAGTGGACGGCGCCGCTACTCAGAGTCGACACAGTAAGTAGCCTCAACGCTCCGACGTGGGTCCTCCTTCCTCCCGCTTTCAAGCAGGTCATCCTTCCCGCGGTCCCTTCCCTCACTTTTGGAAGCGGACGCTTTGGCTCGGGGAGCCTCCCCTCCTCCCCTCGCTGCGTCTTCTTAACCCCAAACTCCTGTCCCCCCTCCCTTCCTTTTTCGTGGCCTCTTTGAAACTGCGCTCCCTGAGAACGCGAGGAAAACCCAGATCCTGAAATAATCCCGGGCCTCCCCTCCGGGGTCTTTTTTTCCCCCCCCCCCCACTTCCAAAGGATAGAGCGAACCCATGAACAAAAGCAGGGATCTTTGTAAAGAGGAAGGAGCAAGTGGGTGGATGCAATTGGGTGGATGCCCCCTCCAAGGAGTTTGGAGGGGGCACCCACCCAATTTCTCCCTCCTCTTTACAAAGATCCCTGCTTTTGTTCATGGGCTCGCTCTATCCTTCCTGAGGATCTGGGGGCGGGGGGGGAGGTTGGGAGAAGAGAGATCCTTTCCTTTCCCCGAAGGCAATTTTCCTCCCCACGGAGTACATTAATCCTACAACGGTTTTTGTTTGTCCCGCCCGCGCAGGTTTGCTGGAGATCCGAGCAGTAGCGCTTCGCACGGTGGCCATCAAGGGCGTGCACAGCTCTCGCTACCTGTGTATGGAAGAGGAAGGCAGGCTGCACGGGCTGGTGAGTGACTAAACTGGTAAAAATAATAATAATAATAAAAAAAAACACCCACGACGGGGATAGGCTATGCCTTCTCTTGGTATCCTTTCCTCCCGATCGGGAACGGCTTTGTCTTGCCTCTCCGCTCGCAAACCAGGCGAGACGCGCCCCACGCGGGGACTTGGGACAAGTTTGCGCCAAGGTCCTTAAAAACGTGGCGCGGGAAGGGCGCGCTTTCCCGGCTCTTTAAAGTAAAGCTTGTAGCGCGAAAGGAGGAGTTTCTTTGGGCTCGCCAGAGAAGAAGAAGAAGAGGAGGAGGAGGAAGAGGAGGAGGGGACCCCCCCCCTTCACACAGGATCGCCAAGTGTTGCAGGAAGACACTGATCATTTACACTGGATTTTGGAAGGAATAGTGGGGATGAAAGAGAGCAACGGTCTTTTGGGTGCTACTTCTTGCAGCACCGTGGCAGCCTAGATAAAGGCGGGCTCAGCCACACATTCCAGAACTTACAAGGCTACAGAGTTACTATTTGTTTACGTTTCTTTGGGGACCTGTTTTCGGGGCTCCAGGCAGAAGATAGATCCTTATCGCGCCCTGTCCTCACGGTAACCTTTGAGGGAGGGGAGGAGAAAGAAGCGCGTAAATCTCTTGAGAGGCCACCCACTAAGTTTGCTGGCTCGCTAGCCATTTGTGTCTGGGTCCCCCCCCTCAAACCCCCCGCATCCAAATACAGCTCTCCATCCCTGGCATGGAGAAAAGAATCCGGACCTCGCGTTCTTTATTGAATAATGCCAGCTCCCTTTGCTCGCGGGTTCCTTCTATTTCAGAAAGGCATAGATTCATAAAGCTTTCTGTTGGTTACCCTCCTTTAATACTCTGGAGGTGGGGTTATTTCCTTGTAGAGGTGGCCAGGTGGGAAAATAATAAAAATTAGGTGCTATTTCTGATCAATTAATGAGACCGTTTACACAGTGTACCCTTTGCGTTGTGTTGGTAGCAAACATAGTTGTATAGGAGCTAGCTAAGAGTTGGTATTACAGCAGCAGAATCCAAAGGGCGGAAAGCTAACCATTGTCTCCCATCTGCTGGTCATCTGGATCTTTGCAGCAAGGTGTGGCACTCTGAAAACCGGTTTTAAAAAAAAAAAACCTGCAGAAAAGGGAAGCATTGCAAGTCTAGCAAGCAGGATAAATAAGAACAAACAGAGAGAAAGAAACAGAAGCTGGCAGGGTGTTTGTGAGTTTTCCAGAATGCTTGTTGTCTGGCTACCTCAACCTTTGAGCACCAGTAATGTGCTATATAGTGGCTTGAGCAGCAGAACAGTACACTGTAGATCAGGGGTGGGTTCTACTTACCTTTACTACCGGTTTGCAGTGGGGCTGCGCACGCGCAGAAGTATTTTGGTGACGTTGGGGTCGGTGGGCGGAGCCTCCCGCCAGTTATACTACCGGTTCTATAGAACCGGTGCAGTGCGAACCAGGGGCAACCTATCACTGCTGTAGATGTAAATGTGGAACTCCTTTTATTTAGATTTTAAAAAGACCAAATGGCCAGTGTTATAGATTTAAAAAAAAATCTTTTATAACTGCTAATGAATGAAGCACTTAAACGTTAACTTAAATACTTTGGGACTTTTTTACTGTTTTTTCCACACCAAGTATAGGTATTAGATAACAATAAATAAGTATAAATAAAGATATAAATACCCTAGGAAATACTGATAGGTAATAAGGGTCATCAGCGTTACATAGCTCCCTCAATTCACCAAATGTAACTTCTCACCAGAACCTCAGGGTCACACAAACATAATGTTATTCTGTCCTATTGAAATCAATATTCCGAATGCAATTTCAAATTGGAAAATAAGTATACAGCAAGTTGCAGTACATTAAACTGGATCCCTCATTCAACTAACCTGAACTGGGCAAGGAAACCTCCTATTTTCAATTATTTTTTAATCCTGTTGTTTTCATTGACCTTTCAGGGACTGAGTGCGTAGTTGATGACACAGCAATATTTTTTGGCTAGGAAGGGTATTCTTACATTATAGATATAATGCTTCTTACGTTCTTTTAAAGGTATAACTTTAGATAATTACAATCACTGCTTCCATTCATAATGCTCAGCCTGTTACATTAAAATTCACTTCCTTTCAAAAATGAAAATACGTAGTGTACTAAAAGTTAACTTTTCCATAGTAACTAGAGATTTAAATAGCGAGCTTCAAATCTGACATACTTTCTGCTTGGAATACGATAATACTGTTTAAAGCTGTCTCTTCATTAAAATAAGGATTATCATGTATCCTCCCAAAATATTGTTTATCTATGTAATTTTGTGCAATTATATCTATTTAGAACTAAACCTTGCTAAGCATATCACTAAAGACACTCGATTAAACTCTGAATTGCGAGCTTGTTTTTATTTTAATTAATCAATGAATCAAGAAAATAAAACAGGCTATAGACCTATACACCACAGAGGCACAATAATTGGGACAATTTACTTATTGCTTATATTTCTCCTTTCTTCCAAGTGCTTAAAAGCAGTGTACACAGCACCCACTTGTCCAGTTTTCTTTACAAGTGTGCAATGTAGCTTTGCCTGAAAGATAATGAACGGTCCCAAATATTCCGTGATAATAGCTGAAGCTATTATCCATAGCTGAAGCAGGATTTTAAATCAGAGTTTCCCCAGTCATCATCTAACATTAAGGAGCATGATTTTCTTTCTTCCCCTGGATTTAGGGTGTGTCAGTGGGAGGGATTTTGGATGTACTTCTTTCTCTCTTTTAAACTGTCGAGCCTATTGTAGGGCATGCACTACTATTTTTGCATATTTCCTACTCAATTCCTATCATAATCACAATGGTGACAAAGCATGGTACTGATTTTCAAAGTTGTGCTATTAAGTGATTGTCATGATGGCAACTTCAGATTTCAAGCCGTTGCTAATCTTGACAACAGAATAAAAACATGTTTTCCAAATGACTGACCGCCCAATCTATTGGTGAAGAAGCAAGAACCTGTATTTGAAGCCTATGTGTCTCTCTGAAGGAATTCTGCTATAAAATACTCAGCAATAAGTCATGGAATTTTCAGGCTGTTTTGTGTGCCAGATAAACGTATGGTGCAGATGCTTGACTGAGAAAGAGCTTGTGCAAGAACACAATTTTCTCTTATCACTGAAGCATTCTACGTAATCAGCAATACTTTTTTTTATTGACCAAGAGTTCAGTTACCTCTAATGACTGAACCAGAGTAACACCAGAGTTTTAGGAAAAACAACAGTGGCACAAAGGAACTAAAACTTTCTGAAATGATGGCCACATTCTTCATAGTGTTAACATTTCTGAATTATGAACACCTTAGTTCTGTTGCTCTGAATATACAATGCATTTGTTCCATTTACATCATCAAATAAGTTTTATTCCAGCTTTCCCCAGTTTTCCGGATGTCCTGGGTTTCAGTTTCCAGCATAACGTCCAGTAATTTGGGGAAGTGAAGTTCAATTAGGGCTATCAGATATGGGTTGGAAAAGCATGGATGAGCATGCAATGGCAGGAAAGAGAGTTTTCTAAAGATCTTTCTGACTTTCTAATGATTGTCCAGATTTTTTTTAATATAATTTTTATTAATATATTCTATGCATCAATACACAAATGAAATATACAATCCTGCCACCATGGTGTAATGTGAGTACATTGTCCATAAATATAAAGTCATTCCTTTATACATACATACTTGCCATCATATATATACATCATCATATATTTATTCTATCCCACCTTTTCTGGACCCAATTGTACCATAATTTCCAACTGTTATAAAATTCTGAATTTTTTTACCATTGATCAATCTAGTTAATCTATCTGATTCCGCACACTCATTAATTTTATATATTATTTTCAAATCCATCGCTAAGTATTGATTTTTCCACTCCTGCGCATATGCTAATCTTGCTGCAGTAATAATGTGAATCAACAAGAATCATATACCTGATTTAACATTCAAAGGTTTTGCCCCCAACAGGAAAATCTCGGGCCTTAATTCCAAATTGATCTGTGTAATTTTCAAAATCCATTGCCGTATTTTTTAAGTCTGTTACATGACGAAGTTTGTGGGAATTTTCTCGTGGGAAATATGTATGAAAATACATACATAAAATGTATATTTCTTATAAGGCAAACCTTCTCCCTCAGCAACTTATAAAGGTAGCCCTTGACTTCCCATCAAAATTGAACATAAAATTTCTGTTGTGAGACCGTTAATTAAGTTTTGCCCCATTTTATGACGTTTCCTGCCACAGGTGTTAAATGAATCTCTGCAGGTGTTAAGAACATGGTTGTTAAATGAATCTGGCTTTCCCTTTAACTTTGCCTGTCAAACATGATCACATGATGCTGGGACACTGCAACCGTCATAAATATGAGTCAGTTCCCAAGCATTTGAATTTTGATCACATGACCAGGGGGATGCAGCAATAGCCATAAGTGTGAAAAACGGGCATGTCACTTTTTCTGTACCATTGTAACTTTGAACCGTCACTAAACAAACTGTTGTAAATTGAGGACTACTTGTATTTCTATTAGGTTGTCCTGGAATATGTATTGAGAAAAAGACCCATTTCCAACTGTAAAAATGGCTGGATGGCACTGTCCTTAAGCAACTATTGTGCAAAGGTTGCTTTGGCATCATCAAATACAATTGGCAATTTTAGTGGGCCAAGGTTTGCAGCTAATCTGAGTACGCCGGAACTATTTTGCCAAAAATATTTATATTATTTCATTTATAGCTAATGCAAATGAAATGTAATTGATACAACTAATTCCAATCATTGTATTTAATAGTTTTCTATTTCTGTTACATTACAAATTAATTTTGGTAATGACTTTTGTCGACGTTGAAGGCTGCAGCTAAGATTTCCAGGTTTAATTCCGCACTAGAGCGTTATGTTAATATCCCTGGAATAGCCTTTATAACAATCTTCATTCCATTATTCGCATAATTCAAATTTTTGCATCTGTGTTTTTATAGAATATAGAAATCCTCCTTGTAATCTAGGGCAAGGGTAGACAAACTGGTATGCACCAGATTGTTTTGGCTAGAATTCTAACAATTGTTTACCATTACCCATGCTGCTAAAACTATTGAGAACTGAAGCTCAAAATATCTCAAAGTTACCTGATCTAAGCAGATGTCAAACTGAGATACTGAAAGGCCATGCTTATTTGCCTCATTAGGTGGTTAAAAAAAGAAACTCATTCAGTACTTTAACCCATAATTAAGTCTTGCATGACAACATTTTTATCATGCCCCAGTCTCTTTTACTATGAAACTTCCTTTGTTGTTTTCCACAGCATATATTAGTACCCACAAAAGCATTCAGTTTGAACTATGATAATCCCTTTATTTTTTATCTATAGTGGAAACAACACACAAGCAATAAATTGTTTGATGAACAATCAGGAATTGAGAATATTTATTTCCTTCCAATCAAATAAAATTGGAGAAATCAAAACGAACCTTGTTGTAAAATTGATCGCCATTCCTTTAGTAACTTGTTACAGACTATACTTAGTTATAAATGCTTCTTATAACCTAATTTATAAATACTTCCTCTGTTTCTTCTTGAGATTCCCTTAAGATTATTTTAGCTCGGTGAAATAAGAAATTCAATTTAATCTCTCTAAGGAATATCATATTTAATTATCTTGTAGCCAAATAGATAATTCCACTGATTATTTGGACAATGTTGCTTCATCTGCCATTTAAGAGACTTATAAACTCATGCAGTATGCAGTAATGTTTACTTTTTTTTCTTTTCAGTTTATATATACCACAGAGAATTGCTCATTTGAAGAGGAGATACGTCCAGATGGCTACAACATCTACAAGTCAAAGAAATATGGAATCTTGGTGTCTTTAAGTAATGCTAGGCAAAGACAACAATACAAAGGAAAAGACTTTCTTCCATTGTCTCATTTCCTACCTATGATGAACACTGTGCCAGTGGAAACTACAGATTTTGGAGAATATAGTGATACCAGGCAAAATTTGGAATCTGGTATTTTTCATCAACCAGTTGAAACTGACAGCATGGATCCCTTTGGTATCACTTCTGAAGTATCCTTAGTACAAAGTCCTAGTTTTGGTTAATAATTTCTGCTTCATTAATTAGATTTTATAGAGAAGTTACCAAGAGGTTAGGATTGTATTTGTTCATATGATAACTTAAACATGACAAATGTGTAAATATGATGCCACCTTTGTAAAGCAATACTAATTCCAAGAAAGCTATATTCATTCACCCTCTTTTTCTCTCATCTGTAAAATAGTTAGAAAAGTTCCTTCAAAATGTTTTTTTTAGAAATGAGAAACATTCAAAGCCTGCAGAATTTCTTTTGCTTTGGAAGATCTTTGGAAAGACAAACCCATAAAAACATTACTGCTTCATTGCTTCCACTTATCTCTGAGTCCCAATAACTGCTGTTCAATCAAAGAATTTGGTCATTCCTGTTCAATGTATTTAAACAGAATTAGTGTTAGAAATAAATTAGCCACAACTAAGTAAACAAAAGGGAATTATACATTTTTGATACATGCTAGATCTCACTATATTTCTCAGACTTCTGTGTTTTTAAGGAAATTGGCTATTGGAAGGTAATTATCATAATTAAGGTAATATAAACTTCAACTTTAATAGGAGAGATTAAATAATAAAACTGTCATGTTTTATTAGCAAGACAATATTTGTTGCTAAATGGTATAAAGACTTTCCAGGGATGTAAGTTTGTTCAGGAACAACTGCAACTGTATGAAGAGCTAATTTTTTGGGGGAAAAAACCAAAATTAGTTAGGCTGCAATCTAGGAAAACAAGGAAAAAGGTGATGCAGCTAAATCATTCTGATTTCTCTGTAGATTGACAACAAATGTCTATTTTGCTTACTGAACAATGTTGTAAAACTAAAATATGTGCTTCTTTAGACATGCCAAAAATATTTTTTAAAAAATCTATATTCAGTTTTAATTATTCACTTACAGATTGGATAACTTTGTCCAGATTTTCTACTACATAACTATTTTTTTTCTCAATGAAAGTAACATTAATTCTCAACAAATATAGATGAGTACATTTTCTCCCAACAAGTTACTTTTCTGATATGCTGTGACTGAAATTCCCAGAGTCCTCAGACATTGCCTGATTCCTCTCTGTAGCTCCAGGTGGAAAAAGGCAGGCCAAATAGATAAAAGCTGCCATTTCATATAGGAGATGCTTTGGATGTAATCCAGGCTGTTTTAAATTCCTACTGAAAGTGATGCAATGTAATCCACATTAAAGTTAGCAGCAGTTCCAAAGGTGATGTTCAAATGGCAACTGGACTTTCTTGGTTTTTTTTCCCTTGAAAATGTTTTGCTCCTCATCCAAGAAGCTTCTCTAGAACTGAAGAAGCTTCAATTAGAAGCAAAAAAACCAAGAAAAGTCCAGTTGCCTTTCGAACTGTGCTGATTGAACAAGACCTTTGGAACAACCATGGCCCTGGATGACTGGGAATCTCCATAGACATTTAGCAGGACTTCATATACCGTATTTTTCGGAGTATAAATCGCTCCGGACTATACCTTTTTTGGTGAGGAAAACAAGAAAAAGAAATCTGCCTCTGCCTTCCAGCAATTTTGCCTCATTGCAGCAAACAGCAAATAGCCTGCTTTACTTTCATTTTCGGTTTCAACATAGCTTGATTAGCACAAGAAAAAAAAATCTGCTCCCAGCAATTTACCTCCTTGCAGCAAACAGCAGAGGCCCGCGCAGCAGTAGGCAATCCCTGCAGCCTGAAACAGCTGAGAGTTGGGAGGCTGATCCAAGGGACAATCAACTTGTGCTAATTAGGCCGAAGCTGAAATGGACTGTTTCTTCTTACTGCTTGCTGCAAGGACGTAAATTGCTGGGAGGCAGAGGCCAAGGGTGGGGGCCAGTGGGTGGGCGGGGCTATATTCAGTGTATAAGAAGCACCCAAATTTTCACCCCCTTTTAGGGGGAAAAAAGGTGCATCTTATACTCTGAAAAATATGGTACTTTTTTCCTGTATGACATTTTACAAGTTAAGATTTCAATATTTACATTTTGGAAGTTTGAAATAAAATTTGGAACATTACTCTTTTTAAAAAGTTCTTGTATATAATAAGGTTGTATAGAAATCAGAAGAAAACATTTTCTTCAACTAGCACTTCATTGTCAATGCTCTATTTATGATTAATTTATTAAACACATACATCCGTTTATTTTCTTACTGTATTTATACTTAAATGTATATTTATGTATTCCAATTTTGCCTTTCTAAACACTGGATAAATATGTAGTGGATTTTTGTAATTGTAAAATGGTCAAAACAAAACAAAACAAACCTTTAAGAATTATGTGTAAAAACTTTAGCTGTAGTGTGTAACATTTTAATAGAAATAAAATATAAAACGTGTCACCTGACTTCCTATAATCAATAAATACATGATTTAATCCTTTAAAAATATTTCACCAGTAAAAGTTGGATTTTGTGATTGGAACATATTTTGCAAATCAAACATGCTTATAATTTTGTATTTATTTTGATTTATGCATTTGTAGGTCAGGTTCTAAAGAACTATCCAGCACATTGAGACCTTGTCTGCAAATGATGTACCTGTAATGTAATGATTGAACCTTACCTCTCCTCTCTCTGGGGTCTCAGATGTTTTATATTTTCTGGATAATTCAAGCACAATTGTTACACCTTTCAATACTCATATATTTGCCTCTTTACAATAACTATTTTTTTAGAATTTGAAAGGCAACAATTCCATAAGATTTCTTTCTAGGGCAGGTTTGCGTGGAAGATTGCTGCCACAGATTAACATGGCATTGTTTATTTATCCAATTTATATAGCTGTCCATCCACCAAACCAATGACTCTACTAGCCTTTTACTGTATTTTTCGGTGTATAAGACGCACCCCCCCCCCCAAAAAGTGGGTGGAAATGTCTTTGCATTTTATATAGTGAATGTTGCTGAAGCCCCACCCACCTGCCAGTCCCCACCCTTCGGCCTCTGCCTCCCAGCAATTTACTTCCTTGCAGCAAATAGCTTGGTCAGTTTCAGCACAGCCTGATTTAGCACAAGTAGCTGATTGGTGGTTGGATCGGGCTCCCAGAATGCTACCTATCAGCTATTCCAGGCTGCAGGGATCGCCACCTCCCGCCGCCGCCACCCATTGCTGCTACCACTGCCTCCGCACACCCCATTTTCAGCCTCCATGTATCCTGTTTTCAGCCTCCGTGCCTCCCATTTTTGGCCCATTCCAGATGGTGGGGATAGGCGGAGCGGTAATGATCCCTGCTGCCTGGAACAGGCCAAAAACGGGACACATGGAGGCCAAAAACGGGATGCACAGAGGCTGAAAATTGAGTGCCCAGAGGCAGCGATAGGCAGCAGCAGTGATCGGCAGCGATGGCGGTGATGATTCCCGCAGCCTGAAACAGCTGATAGGCGGTATTCCAGGAGGCCGATCCAACTGCCAATTAGCTGCTTGTGCTAAATCAGACTGTGCTGAAGCTGACCAGGCTGTTTGCTGCAAGGAAATAAATTGCTGGGAGGCAGATTTTTCCCCCCTTGTTTTTCTTCCCAAAAGCTAGGCGCATCTTATACTTCAGAGCATCTTATAGTCTGAAAAATACGGTAACTTACCTTTCTAGTGTAGGGGTTAAAGTGCGGTATTGCAGCAAACTGCCCACAGCCTGGATTTTGATCCTGACAGGGCTCAAGATTGACTCAGCCTTCCATCTATGTCGGTAAAATGAGGACCCAGATTGTTGGGGGCAGAGAAAGATGTAAAGTACTATGAGATAGATACCAGTCTAAATGCTATTGCTATTGTATGATCTCACAATTCAAAGGAAGCTTGGAATATCCACAATGGATTAGTCAGTCAATGCAGCTGAGTAACATGTCTTAAAAATTCTGTTTTAGAAGGAAGGTTTTCCTATCCTCCAGCAATGCTGATGAGGTAACACTCAATTTCCTTTGATGTACTCAGATCTTGGAGACTTCAAGATAAGATAAAGCTGAAGGGAATTTTCTGCATTGCAAGATCCATTCCTACCTTCATAAACACAAATAACCAAGTCCTAGGTTATTTCTTTCCCTTAAGCAAGGAATGTATTGCCTTGAACTACAGATTATTTTAACTGCTAATCGTTAAATTTTATATTAAGAGAAAACTGAATGTAATTAAATTGCCAATTTGCCTTGTCCCCCCCCAAAAGCATTTCTCCCCCTTTTCATTATACATATGATTACCAGACACAGAGAGCCTAACTTTATGTTTGTAAGCCACCCAGAGTCACGGAGAGTGAGTGGGGCAGCCTTATACATTTTCTTAAATAAATAAACGCCAAAATAAATATTACACTTAATTGGCTTATAGAAATGAACCAGATTTACAGTTTTAGTAGATAGTTTAAAAATGAAATATACAGATAGTCCTTGACTTACAACAGTTCAATTAGTGACCATTCAAAGTTACGATGTCACTGAGAAAAATGACTTATGATCATTTTTCTACATTTATGACTGTTGCAGCATCCCCATGGTCCTGTGATCAAAAATCAGATGCTTGGCAACTGATTCATATTTATAACAATTGCAATGTCTTAGAGTCATGTGATCCCCTTTTGCAACCTTCTGAAAAGCAAAGTCAATGGGAAAAGCAGATTCACTTAACAGCCGTATTACAAACTTAACTTAACTGCAGTGATTCACCTAACAATTGTGGCAAGAAAGGTCTTCGAACAGGGCAAAATTCGCTTAATAAATGTCTTGCTTAGCCACTGAAATTTTGGCCTCAATTGTGGTTGTAAGTCGAGGACTACTTGTAATGCTGAATATATTCTCCTAGCAATTTAAACTAAGGATGCTATCATTCCATGCCCTCGCCTAGCATTTTAGTTTTTTAATTGCTTTTCTCTAACTTTCTGTGAAGTTCCCAAGCAATGACATATATTGTCTTTCCCTTTTTGCTTGGCTTGGTGCTCTCTGAGCTTGATTGTTGGCTTGTAGACATTTCATTACCCAACTAAGTAACATCATCAATGCAATGTCTGTGTGCAAAGGCCCTGATAATGTTACCTAATTGGGTAATGAAATGTCTGCTGGCAAACCACCAAGCTTAGAGAACACCAAGGACTCCACAGTTCAACTACAATATGGACTCTTTCTGCTTAGTCTTAATTTTTTCACCATCATCAAGGGAGTTAAGACTTCTCTCTTCAGCTCAGCCTTCTAAGTCTATTAATGCTTATTTTAATTATTGTTGCCTATTGAAAGTAGCTTAGTGATTCATATTACCTTTTCTGTCTGGTAGTCACAGTGGAAGGAAGGGTACAAATTGAAACTATTAAACATGAGACAACAACTAAGAATTTCTTCTCTTTCTCTTTTTTTCTCTCTCTACCCCCTCCCTTCTTCCCTCTCTCTCTCTCTTTCCCTCCCCATCCCTCCTCCCCTCCCCTCCTCTCATGCTACTGGTTTATTTATCAGATTTATGAAGCCCCCAATCTCTAACTACTCAATTGAGTTTTCAAGAACACAGCAACATAACTGATACAAAATAAAATACAAAACTGTCAAATACATAATACCCTTATAATAATCTTGCATGTGGATCTAGTAGGTGCAGAAGAAGCAGGTTTCTGAGCCAGGTTTTTTACAACTTTCAGGAGGGCTGCAAAAATGGGGAGGACTCTTGCTTCAGAGCACAAGCCATCCCAGAACAGCTCCCACAAAATATGCCTCCCTCTTCTCCCATCATACCTCTCAGTGGGTGGGGATCCTCCACAGGCATTCTGTTTACTCAGAATGGGTGGGTTAAGCAGCCTTATAGATACCAAATCCCTGAGCCATAAAGGGCTTTATAGGTGATAACCAACATCTTAGAATTGCATTCAGAAAGCTATTGCTAGCCAATGCGATTCCCACAGGAGTGGTGTTACATGGCAATAATAAAGTTGCCCAGTAAGCACCAGGGCCATGCTATTTTACCTCAGCTGGAGTTTCTGGGTGGTTATCAAGAGCATCTTTATGTAAAGCAAATTACAGTAATCCAGGCATATGGGTGATTATCGTCAGTGTAGTACGTCTTCTATGGAAAGAAGGCCATAAATTGTGCACTGGATGGACCTGGGCAAAGACTTTCCAGACCATGGACTCCAGATCCAGATCCTCTTTTTCTGAGAGCAGCTGCGAGAGCTCAGGACTCCAAAAATGAAGGGATTGCTATCCATAGGGAAGTGCAACCCCCTGAAAAACCAATATTGGTACAACCCCAGAATCAATAAGCTTTTAAATAAATAGCTGCTTTGTCTTGCTTGGGTTGAGTCTTGCTTGGGTATCCAAGACACTAAAAGATGTGGATCAAGACCTCGGATCCTGACTCCTAGTACTGCGGCTAGTTCTTGTCTTACGACCACAATTGAGGCCAAAAGTTTGTCGCTAAGTGAAACATTCATTAAGTGAATTTCTCCCCATTTTACGACCTTTCGTGCCACAGTTGTAAAATGAATCACTGCAGTTGTTAAATTAGTAACACAGCTGTGAAGTGAATCTGGCTTCCCCATTGACTCTGCTTGCAAGGAAGTCACCCAAGGTGACCCTGGGACACTGCAACTGTCATAAATATGAGTCAGTTGCCAAGCATCCGAATTTTGATCACGTGACAATATTGTAACAGTCGTAACTTGGGAAAAAATAGTCGTAAGTCACTTTTTTTCAGTGCCGTTGCAACTTTTAATGGTCACTAAATGAACTGTTGTATGACGAGGATGACCTGTATTGGGAACCACCTAGAATTTGGCATAAGATAGGTAGTGGCATAAATGTTTAAAATCAGGGGTGTCAAACTGGATTTCTTTGAGAGCTGGATCAGCATTGTAGTTCTCTTCTGTGGGCCAGAGATGGGGGTGGGGGGGTGGGGAGACCGGATGGACCCCTCCTGCAACACCCTGCTGGCCAAAACAGGGCACAGAGTGGTCTGCAGACAGCCCCTCCAATGCCTCATTTTCGCCCTCCATGGCCTCCTGCAGCCCTCTGCCAGCCAAAACAGGCCGGGCAGAGGCCGCCATGTGACCCGTTTTTGGCTGGCAGAATGCTACTGGAGGCCAGGGAGGCCAAAAATTTAAAAAAAAAGGCTGTGCAGGGGCCCTGCATGGCCCGTTTGCGGCCAGCAGAGTGCTGCAGGAGGCCATGGAGGGCGAAAACAAGGCACAGGGGATGCTGCATGCAGGCTGTTTTAGCTGGCAGAGGCACTGTGGACCAGTCCTTTGATATTTCAAGGCCTGCCCCGCAGACCAGATTTAAGCACCCTGTGGGCCAGATCCAGCTGACGGCCCTTGAGTTTGACATCCCTGTTTTAAATAAACAAATAAATATACAACTAGGTACTATCGGTTTATTAATGATAGCTTACCCTGAACTGCCACGTTACTTTCCTTAGTGGCATATAAATGTTAACATGTAAACGTTAAGTAGGATTCTATACTGTAACTGCAGTTCCTTGCTATTTATTTATTTATCCAATTTGCTTCTAAGTGATCACACTTTATATATTTTACTTATTTATTCAATAGATTTATATGGCTGCCTAACTCACACATATAAAACAACACAACACTATAAAACTCATCCACCCACCTTGACCGTAACAAACCCAATTGTACAAGCCACAGGATCAGCTCTGTACCAACCTGGGATCCCCAGGCCTGTTGACAGAAGTATGTCTTTGGGACTTTCCAGAAAAGCAGCACAAATGGGGGCCAACCTTATTTCCAAGAGAATGATATTCTAAACAGAGGAAGGCATTGCAGAGAATTTGGGTTCAATTCTGTTGACAGTCACCATCTGACTTTGCTACTAGAATGAATGTTAAGTGCTTAAGGCACAATTCTTAAGCATGTTTGTTCAACAGACAGTTCACTGTGTAGTGATTAACTTCAGGCAAGTAAACATAAAGTCCAAGCTGAACATACGAACTGTAAAAGAAGAGGCAGACCATGTTTCTGCAGCTAAAATTCAGCCTCCAAGAGCATGGTGATAACCTTATGAAATCCACAATGCAAGTAAGAATAAACATTCAGTTCATTATCTCAAATTTTGCAGGTAGCATTAAGGAATTGCTAGGGCTTTTAAAATGAGAATTGTGCCACCAAGTCTTTTTCTTTTGTGTTCAGTTTTTTTGGGGAGTGCCCACTGATGCCCCCCTCCCCCAAAGTTCCCAGACACTACATATAAACTACAGACTAGAGTTGCTCAACATTATTTTAAACTTAAATGGTACAGGGCACTCATTCAATTATTTAAAATTGCTCTTTATTTTTGAAAATAAATTGCCTAAGCAAATCCTATAACAGCAAAAAAAGAAAAGAAAGCCCCAAAACAAAACAAAACCTCCAAAGCTATTACAACATACATCGATGTTTAAAAGTTCTGAACCCTTTTGAATGTTCAATATTTCTGCCTAATTTGACCTAACACATGGTCTGTTCTCCACACAAATGTTAAAACATCAGAACTGTACACCAGAAATAATCATAGATCACAAAAGATCAAGGATGCATGTTGCTTCTGCTGGTAAGCATGGTTCTCCCTCCCCACCAAATAAATAAATAAAATAAATAAATAAAAAATCAGTAGAACAACTTTCAGAAGCAAACTTTAATGCAGTTTGTAAATTCAGATATGAAAATATTAACAAACATTTTCCCCAATTTGAATGCCAAACAGTGCATATTGCACATTTTAATATATACCAAGCTTTTAGGAGCTGCAGTAAGCTTCACATATCGAATCAAGTTAACTGGAGCTCACAAAATGTATGCCTTTTAATAATATTTGCTGGTCTGAAAATGTGCTATCAGATTGGTTTATTTATTTATTTTTGACTATAGATTACTACATTGAACATTAGTGTTTGTATTCAATGAGCAAAAGCAATACAGTAGCCCACACCTTATTTAGCTTTCCAGGTGAAAGTTATACCGGACATTCTTTCAATTTTCCTATAAACAATTACAAGTAGCTGAAGTGGGTGTTTACAGAAGGGAAGGCCTGACTGATAACATTAAAAGGATTACTCTTTCTTGTTTCAAGAGATGAGGTTATCTGTGTATCTGACCAAGGCACTTTAATGGTTATGTCTTGGGTGTTTAGAGAATCTTTGAGAAGAAAGGAAGGAAGGAAGGAAGGAAGGAAGGAAGGAAGGAAGAAAGAAAGAAAGAAAGAAAGAAAGAAAGAAAGAAAGAAAGAAAGAAAGAAAGAGGAAGGAGGAGGGAGGGAGGGAGGGAAGGAAGGAAGGAAAACTGAAGCCAGGATGATGTAATATTGAGGGGTTGGATTTAGATGCAGAGACTCAGATTCAAATTCCAGTTTAGACATGGAATTCATTAGGTAATCCAAAGATAATCATATTTCTTTCCTTAACCTGACATAGGTTTTATGTGTCATTCGATCATAGATATATTAATTGTTATTTGTAAACCAATGTACAGTATTTTTCAGAGTATAAGATGCACTGGAGTATAAGATGCACCTTAGTTTTTGGGGAGGAAAATAAGAAAAAAGCTGATTGGGCCTCCCAGAATACCCCCAATCAGCTGTTCCCAGAGGTGAATTTTAGGAAGAGGTTCAGTGGTGGGTTGCTACCAGTTCGCAAGAACCGGCAGTAAAAATTTGTAGTAGTTCGGAGAACTAGTAATAACATTGGCTGGCCACGCCCCCGAACCGGTCCCCGGCCCGGTCGCCACTCGCTTACCCCACCCACCTCATCAGAGGCTTTTTTTACTTTTAAAAGCATTTTTTCTACCTCTTCGGCCGAAAAAATGCTTTTAAAAGTAAAAAAAAAAGCCTCTGATGATCGCATGGCTCAGCTGGGATCGTCAGAGGCTTCTGAAAGCATTTTTTCTGCAATCTCTTCAGCCAAAGAGGTTGTAGGAAAAAAAATCCCTTTAAAAGCCTCTGGCGATCCCAGCTGAGTTGCCTGATTGTCAGAGGCTCCTGAAAGCATTTTTTTCTGCAACCCCTTAAGGTTGTAGAAAAAATGCTTTTAAAAGTTTAAAAAAAGAAAAGTTGGCCACGCCCACCCAGTCACATTACGCCCACCAAGCCATGCCCACAAAATAAGCCACGCCCACAGAACCAGTAGTAAAAAATTTTAGAACCCACCCCTGAGCAGGTTCCTTGGTTGTGAGCTCTGTGCCTTGCTTTTTTTTTTGCTTTTTTTTCAGCCTCTGAAACTCCATTTCAGAAAAAACTGCCTCTGAAAGCCTCCAAAACAGAGCTTCAGAAAAAAAAGCTTCTGAAACTCTGTTTGGGGGCTTCTTTTCTGAAGCTTCTTTTCTGATGCTTTTTTCAGCCTCTGAAACCTCCATTCAGAGTATAAAGACGCACCCAGATTTTCACCCTCTTTTTTGGGGGGGAAAGGTGCGTCTTATACTCCGAAAAATACGGTAAGTCCTTGGGGAACAAATATGAATTTCAGAATCTTTGTGAGATTGAAGACTTTTGAAAGTTGGAGGCTGTAATAATGGATATGGCACAGATTCCCGCTGTCCCTGTTTATTAGTCCTAGACTTAACAGCAGTTCATTTAGTGACCATTCAAAGTTACGACGGCACTAAAAATGTGACATGATCATTTTTTGCACACTTACGACTTTTGCAGCATCCCCACGTTGATCACGTGATCAAAATTCAGATGCTTGGCAACTGATTCATACTTTATGACTGCTGCTGTATCCTAGAGTCATGTGATTCACTTGGTGAATCACATGACTCTATGGTGGCAAGAAAGGTCGTAAAACAGGCCAAAACTCACTTAACAAATGTCTCACTTAATAGAAGTTTTGGGCTCAATTGTGGTTGTAAGTTGAGGACTGCCTATATACCACCTTTGTTCAAGGGCTCTTGATGATGTACATAACTTTCCGTTCTGCTATTTCCCAAACAAATATAAGGTAGATTGCAGAGGGGGAAATTGACATGAGGTTCTAGATAATGAATTTATGGCCTGGGACCCAGTTGTGTTTGGAAATAGTTACTCTTTTCCAATCATGGCCTGTAAAAGTAATTTGTTTCCCTCTGAAGCAAACCTGAGAGCACCAAAAACAATATTGATGGGAATAGGAACCCCCCACCTTGGGGAAAAAAAAAACCTAAGATAATTTGAGGTGCTTATCCGAGCTCCATTTTAATTCAGACAGAGAAAAGCTATGAGCAGCTTCAAGGAATCAAAGTGATGCTTTGTAGTGGTGATGACAGCAGTAAAAACATTCCAGCCAAGCTACAAAGATAACATTTTCTGGAGAAGGTGGAGAAAGGTGGAAGGAAAAAGAAGAGGATGACCAGCTGTAAGATCTCAATAAGGACCCAGTTGCTGCATTATTCAGTTGCAACTGGCTAAAATGGTCAATGGCCAGATCACCAAGGAGAAAAGCTATGTGATTTGATGGCACATAACTGGGCAATCACTTTCAAGTTGATTATATTATTTCAATTTTTGTAAATTGCACTGTAATCCTGTTGAAAGAAAAGATTTTTTTTTAAAAAAAACCAACTGGCCTATTTAATTATCAGAACTGCTTTACAACAATACATTTGCTCAAATAGTAAAGAAAGAAACCAAGCCACAGAAGACATTTTTTTTCTGTTATTAAACCAATGTACTTACCGATCCTCTAATTTGGCCCTAGTAAGAACAATTTAAGGACAAAAGCTTTCAAAACGGAGTCACCTATGATCATGGCAATATCGTATCATCTCCGTCAAGCAGAATTCGGGGGAAAAAAATGCATCCAGCAACCAAATCCGTGCCGCAATAAGCGCCACTTGGGAAAGAGCCCGAGGAAGTCTGCACTTTCCAAAACAAACTCCCGTCTGTTTTTCCGAAGGAGACTTGCTCCCTCTAGCGGCTAATGTGGGAAAAACGGAGGCGCGCCGAGAGACTTTTCCCAACCTCCCCCGAAAGAGCCTTCGGCTTGTGAACGTGCGAGTCGGCGCCCTTTCGGAGCATGCGCAAGGAGGCCGCGTTGGTTTGGTCCTTGCGGCTTGCCGTCGGTGGAAGAGACGAGCGGCGCGGCGCGACGGTTGGGGACTCGGCGAAAGCCATGGCGGCCGTTGAGGGGGAGAGCGACGCCTTCGATGCTATCGTCATGGCAGAAACGAGGTAGGGCCTGTTCGTCACGTTGTCGGCGCCGCCGCTTCTCGACGAAGAACTTTCCCCTCCTTTCGTTTTGGCACTGAACGGGATGGGAAAGGCGCGTCTCTAACCGCGGGGAAGGCCAAAAGGGCCTGAGTAGCGGCATCCTCCCTTCGGCTCCTTCCTCTGCTTTAATGTCTTCGTTGCTGAGACTACGCTGAGGTTTTCGTGCCACTCCGGTACGATTCGGTTTGGTGAAGGGTCGCTCTAGAAAGAGTGCAGAGAAGAGCAGTTAAGAGGATGAGGGGACTGGAGGCTAAAACATACAAAAACGGTTGCAGGAATTGGCTATGTCTAGTTTAATGAAAAGAAGGATTAGGGGAGATATGATAGCAATGTTCCAATATCTCAGGGGCTGCCACAAAGAGGAGGGAGTCAACCTATTCTCCAAAGCACCTGAGGGCAGGAAAAGAAGCAATGGGTGGAAACTAATCAAGGAGAGAAGCAAACTAGAACTAAGGAGAAATTTCCTGACACTTAGAACAATTAATCAGTGGAACATAGTTTGCCTAGTTTTTTTTTTTTAAAATAGGCATAAAATAGTCTGCAGTGAAAGAATTATTACAAGATATAATAGGATATATTACAGGTTCAGTAACATTGTGACTGAGATGCGATTCGTTTCAGTTCTGTTGAATGGCAAAAGCCATAATTAAGTTACATGCTTAGAAAAAGGAAAATAAATACTCGTAAGATGGCAATGCTGGCCCACATCATTTTTACAATTTGTTAGCCTTGCATCTTAACAAATTTAGATTGAATCTGACATTTCACTCTATTACAGAGGCCAATCATATTGGTGAGGTAATATAAAAGTATATATAGTGCCATAGAACTTCAATGTTGGTGTAAATTTTTTAGAGTATTGAAAATTACTAAAGCGATTCTTTTTTTACTGTAGATTACAAATGAAATGAGATAAATATTGTACATTAATGGAATTCATTCTTGTACAATTTATTGAAAGAAGAACCTCAAGAGAAGAGAACATTATTTGCTACTGTAATTTATGAAAGTCCCAATTTTAAACTCTTATGAATGTACAAATGTAATTACATTTTAATAGAACATAATAAAATCAAGACTGGAGTTCTAAGTATGCTTAAGGCACCAAACTAGAAATTGGGAGATTATGAGTTCTAGTCCCACTTTAGCTATGAAAGCTAGCTGGGTAACCTTGAGTCAGTCACCATTCTGAACCTGACTCAATTCAGAGAGTTATTGTGCGGAAAATAGGAGGAGGAAGGATGTTGGATATGTTTGCTGCCTTGACTTTTTTGTAAGAATAATATTAAAGACAGAATACAGATAAAAATGATGAATCAGAGATAAACCTTACAGAATTCAGTAAGACTTGCATCCAAGCAAGTATGTATGCCATAGTTTATATGGGATTACAAGCTAAATGAATTTACATTCAAACAGCATATTATATAACAATTGCTTAAATCCTTTTGAAATTAATTGGAATGTACTGGATTATGTGGAATAAACATGCATGACAGTTAAATGAAAGGATATATTTATATGTATTTATATGGCTTATATGGCTTGTTCTTTCAAAATCTTTTAACAGATTTTATGGTGAAGGCTATCAAGATGGTTATGCTGAAGGAGTCCATGCTGGTGGTGTTGAAGGAAGACAATATGGAATACAGCAGGGTGCCAGAATTGGTTCAGAAGTATGTTTTAAAAGTTAAAATTAGTTTTTTGATTTAAAACAGTATTCTCTTCAGTGTGTATACGCTGACATGTACATTAAACACTAAGTGAACTTTGTAGTTTTTATAGCTCTGTAACTATAAACACATGAGCAATAATGTTAGTGATTTTAAAACAAAATAAAATAATCACTTCTCAAATTTACAGATAGGGTCATACCTTGGTTTTGCACTGACGTGGCAACAGTTGCTTCAGAAAACATCAGATGAAAAATGCAGGTAAATTTAGGGGGAGGGGGAACTGTTGTTACCCACTGGGTTGAATCAAATTTTGCATCTTGAATATGGAACAGCTTCTTACTATCAAGGAAGTTATTTGATCCAGTTAGGAATTCTCATGGGAGGAAGGCTGATTTGGGAGAAAGATTTTTGTTATTTCTCTCTCTCTGCTGGAAATTTGTTTCCAGGTGCATTGAGCAGTTGCTGTCATTGTAAAATATGTAGAATTGGTAGCAACAGAGAAAGGAGAAAATCAGTAAAATACTCCCCCACCTTTTTTTCCTTTCTATCAGTGGCAGCATTCTCAACAGATCTCTGTTCAGTATATTATTGTTGCTAGAAGGTCATTTTATATTCAAATACTTTTCTTGTGGATTTAATTAATTTCCAGAAAAAGAACTTCTTTTTCTGCTTAAAAAAAAAAAAGCCTAGTATGGTAAGGAAGAAAATATCACAAGTGTAAATGAAGAGGAAATTGGTGACAGCCTAAAATATACATCAGAGTACCTGGTGAAATTAGATTGTGCGTGTGTGTGGTGATGGAATTACATTAATTGAAATAGTATTGAAAAAGTATATCAGCAATTGTACCAGGATGAAATTAATTGGATATGACTTCAGCGGTGTATCAGCAAAGTTAAGCAGAAACATTATAGCTTTCAGTTTTCAGATGTTTCCAAGTGCAACAACCTATGGTGTTTGCTGGAACTGATATTGTTGTCAGTTTTACTGGATGTAGCTGTTTAAAATTACTACACTTTTCATTTTGATTTAGCTGTGTAATAATAACACATACATTTATTAAATGTATATGCCCAACTCTAGTGACTCTGGGTGGTTTACAGTTGTTAAAACATTTAAAAAACGGAACAGTGCAAAAAATACAAGCATAGCAAAGAACAAAGTCCTGATAAGTAGCACTGTTTAATTGATTGAAGCTGGAGCATACAACCTGCCAGGTTGAACCAGTTGGTTAAATACTATAGGAGGCAGGAGATCCCTCAAATAACCTGATCCTATGCCATGTAGTATTTTATAGGTAACATCCTGTACCTTGAATCCCACCTGGAAGCAAACTGGCAACCAGTGCAGTTTGTAAAGATGTGTTACATGGACATACAAAGGCATGCCTACCACTTTCTGTGCTACTGCATTGTGGACCAGGTGGTTTTTCAGGCTAGCCTTACTTAGAACATGTTGCAATAATCAAACTGTGAGGTGACAGTGTATGACCATCTCTCTGAAGGGCCCCATGTGGTAGGAAAGGGTGTAATTGGTACTGTATATGAACTTGGGTAAAAGCCTTTTTGGTCACAGCTGCCACATCTCACTGAGTAGAATTGTGAGTCCAGGAGATCCTCCAAAATTGTGCACAATCCTTGAATGGGGAAGAGCAACCCCATCCAAGATCAAAGTGAATATCCTCAGATCTGGGAAGTAAAAACACCTACTGCCTCCAGATACTGGAACAGAACCTCAACTTGGCTGCCTCAGAATCAAAATACATAACAAATGTCATCAAAGTCTTGATGATATCAAACCCAAACTGGCTGGTGACCTCAACCAGAGGTCTCATGTAAATGTTGAAAAAGAGGGGAGAGAAAATAACACCTGAGGTACTCCACAAATGAGAGGCTTAGGGAACAATCTCTCACCACCAAGTAACACTGACTGGACTAGCCCCGGAGAAAGGAAGAGATTCACCATAAAATGGTGTCCCCAATGCCCCCATCCCCCAACCCATGGAGCTGGCTCAGAAGGATACTGTGGTTGATGGTCTCAAAAGCCACCAAGAGGTCAAGGACCATAAGGGTGACCAAAGCTGTCTCAGTACTAAATCCCAGCTTGAAACTTGACTGAAATGTGTCTAGAATAGATAATCCATTTCCTCCAGATAATCCATTCCTTAGCTGCAGACTACCTTTTGAGCAATCTTCCCCAAGGAGGGAAGGTTGGAGACTGGTGAATAGTTATTGAAAACCATTGGTCCATGGATGACTTCTTGAGAAGGGGGCACACCGCTGCCTCTTTCAAGACTGGGGACAAACACCGTCCCCTTCATCAAGAAGATTGACGCTACTGCATGGACACAAATGCGAATCACTTTCCTTGCTGCTTTCATAATCTAGGAGGAACTTGGATGCAGGAAATAAGTGGCTGAGTTGATAGTAGAGAGAGGCCTGTTTATTTTTTCAGGATTCACCATCTCAAACTCATCTTGGATCATACCACTAGATTGCAGCCCAGTCACTGCAGCCTGCGCTGTATTATTGTAGCACACTGGAACTGGTGAATTATTTAGATCGTGCGAATGCAGTTTCCATTTTTCTGTTAAAGAGGTGATTTTTAATAGGCAATAATCTACTAAAGATCTGAGAGAAGAAATCAAATGTAGAAGAATATGCTTTATTATTTGGAATTTGTCATTTTCAGTTTTGTGTTTGGGGAGGGTGGTTTAAGTTTTACCTCATTTTTCTCAAAGTCTTACTGCTTTATAAAGTTATCATCTTAAAAGAAGAGGCAGATTGTTCCAAAATCGTTCATTCATATATGATGAAATGCTACAAAACAAATATAGGGACATTTTCTACAGTGACTTCCATTACCTGGTGACAATGCTGACTAGAAGATGTAGATTTGGAGAAGGATTGAAATGATAGATTTGATACAGTGAGCAAATATTCTGAATTATAAACACATAGCACCTGCTGCTCTATTAATGGATGTAAAGAAGGAAACGGTTGGAATTGATCCATAATTCTAAATAGTCGAGTGTTTTTATACCAAGCTGTATAATTGGTCTTCATAGACACCATTGATTCTAAATGCTGTAATGTCAGGGCATTATTTGAGCCTCTATTATAATAATTAATTATTATTTTTATTAATGATAGTAATCAATAGGCTTGGTTTTCTGAGTTACCCATCTTGTGAGTGTGATGTTAGAATGAACGGAAGTAGTAAAATATATTAAGACAGGGTGGTATGTAGATGGACTTTGAAAATAACAGTGTGTGACATTATTAAATCAATTTTATTTCAGTAAAAAGATAAAAGTCCTGGAGCAGTTAATAGAGATGATTCAAAACTTTCCTTTGGAAGATCCAGTTTATGACAAACTTCAAGATGACTTGGAGAAAATTAGAGGACGGTTTAAACAAGTATGTGCCCAATTTCATTGTTGGAATACAAACTGTAATTGTGTTCAAAACAAATAACATTATTGGAATGGAACATTACAGGAACAGAGGAGGATATTTAATATTTAATTAAAATATTAACATTTCTAAATTTCTTTTCTTTTTAGATTTGCTCATTATTGCACATTCCATCTGATTTAAGACTTGGTTCTGAGGGAATTTCATTTTCATTTTGAAAGCAACATAAAAAGAAAATTGCTGTTGGATATAAAAAATGGTTACATCTCACACAGAGTGATCATCTTTTCTTTTCTATCCACTGAGCAGAAAACTACAAAGATAATAACTTGATTTTATTGTACTTGAATTGTATCACTGTATCATTGTTTCAGTTTGCACATTCAAGCTCAACGGTGGCTTCAGCCTGTTGGTTAACATACTGTTCCAAAAATTAATATTACATTATTAGAGAAGAAAATTGGTCTGTGGAACATCAACTAAATAGTGTTACTTTTTTTTTCTTCAATTGTGTCCAATTCTTGGAGTCAGACTGGAAAAGTCCCTGCAGTTTTCTTGGCAATAATTTTTCAGAAGTGATTTGCCTTGCCTATTTCTAAGACTGAGAAAAGTGGCTGGCTCAAGGTCATCCAGCTGGCTTTGTGCCCAAGATGGGACTAGATCTAATGATCTTCTGGTTTTTAACCTGAAGCCTTAACCATTATACTAATTTTGACTCATTAATAACCTATTGCCACCGTTTATATTGAAAAGGTGACTGCAAGTAGTCCTCGACTTACAATTACAATTGGGACTGGAACTTCTGTCACTAGGAGATGTGTTTTTTAAACGATAAACACCTGATTTTACAATCTTTTTTTTGCTACAGTCAATAAGTAAATCAGTAGTTAAATGAATCCATCTTTCCCCATTGACTTTGCTTATGGGAAATTGATTGGAAAGATTGCAAATGGCAATCGTGACCTGCTGTTGTAAGTACATGCTGGTTGCCAAGCGCTCTAATTTGGATCACATGACTGGGGGGGTGCTGTAGTGGTTGTAATATAACTTTTTTCAGTGCTGTTGTAACTACAGACAGTCACCAAATGAATGGTTGTAAGATGAGGATTACCCATAAAGCATCTTAAGGATTTTAAGCAGATTTTGTAAACACTGAAGAGTGTCTTCCTAAAATTGGCATTTTAGGAAGTGAGTAAAATACATATTTCACTATATTAGTGCAAAAACCACAAATTTGAAACATGTTATCAGTATATCTGTAGTTTTATAAGTGTATCTCAGATGGGATGTGTGCTTTATTTGTAAATTAATTTTGGAGGCTCCCAGATAAACCGATTTTTCTGTCAGTAGCTTTCTTTTTAGGAACAGTAGTAATCACCATTATTATTATGCAAGTGCTAAGGTATATTCTGAAAATAAAGTTTATTTGGAAAAAACACAGATGAGGACCAGTAGAGATTTTTGTAGCTTGCAGAAAGTGCTTTCGGAAGCCAATCTGGCACTCTCTTGCTGCACATTTTGTAAATAATTTTAATAGACATTTGGCTTGTGGCCATGTTCTATTATGTCCTGTTTCTCTCTTATCATTTTCCTACCCTTTGGCAGTTTAGAGGAAATAAGTGGCAAACTTGCCAGTCCAAATTCAGGCTGTCGTATGAGTTCTTTCCTTTTATGCCATCATTTGAAATTGCACAAGGAATAGCATATGTATGTATTTATTCATTTTTAAAGCATGCATGTCACATCTCAGGCCCAGGTTTTCCTGGGATGGTTTACAGCGCCTAGAGACACCATACAAGAATAATAATTAAAATATAATAATACAATCAATGCAGTAATCAAGTAGTATGAGTTCCAATGCAGCATATACTTACCAAATCCTAAAGCTAAAAGCTCTTTTGCCTGGCACTGAAAACAAAGGCAGCTGAAGAGGAGCAAGGTTAAAATTTTGTTTTGAAGTGGCAGCATTTTTCTTCTTGCTTTAAAGCCTAAAAATCTAAGCCCCTATCTTCAATATGCTGTATTTGCTTTTTTAAATAAAAAGTTTAGTGTATTTATCTTTGCTTATGAACAACATTATAGTAACTAAATCATTTTGGGGGGGGGGGTTACAAGATTTCCCATTCCTTGCACTTCATTGTTGTGCTGGTTGTATTTGCTGCTTTGGGCTGAGAGAGATCAGGATAAAACTGAATTGTGTTAAAATCCTATTACATTCCTTCATGCTGTACCTGTATGATCAGGATTAACTTTAAATTATTGAGATGTTAGAAACCACTGATTAGGGCCACCTAGTGGGAAAAATAATTATATCAGCTTTCAAATTTAAAATTCCAATGTTTTTGTTAGAAATGGTAAACAGTTTTAACTAAATTGGCTTTAAGAAGAAAGTTTTTGTTTTAAAAAATGGAAGTGCAATAACTGAGACAGTATTTACTGAAACAGCTGAATGCTCTTCATTTATATATTCAATGGACATTTTACCCATAACTGAAGATATATTAATAATTGTACTGTTAGTATTATCTGTTGTATTGATTGTAAGGTTGGCCAAATTCACTGCCTATTATGTGTTATATTCTGATATTTGTACTAAAATATTACTTTCTTCAAAGTGATTCTTACTGTAATTCAGTCTGTTACTTAAAGTAGCCATCTGTGAAAGTGCTCTGTTTTAACCCGTTTATTGACAATGTTTTTACTTCAGGGAAAAAGAAAATTAATTAAAACACTAATATGGAAGCATAAAAGAAAATGAATCCTGTGAAAACCCTTAATCATATATCTGTGTAAGGAGAGTCTGGAAAAGCAGTTGATAATATGGTTGATTTGCAATCAAAATATGCTTTTCAACAGTTCTTCTAAATTATCCAGAAACACTTTTGGATAATACAAGGAGGAAGCAAAAGATAGAGTACTGTGTGCAAATAATTCTTTGTTCAAATACTATGGTGTGCAAATAGTTCTTTGTTTAAATACTAGGGTAAGAAAAATTTGTGACACTAGAACAAATGTCATTTTGAAATGTCAATTTTTAGAATATGACTTTTTATACATCAACACTGTTACTAATCAAATTATAACACATAATTGATGTGGGTTTCCAAAGTATGTGATTTAGGTTTTTACATCAAATTACCCACTATTAAATACAAAAACCTAATTATTATTTTTTTAAAAGATAAAACTTTTAAAAAAAGTTTTTAAAACCCTGTTACATTCAATGTAAGTACCTCATTTTGGTGGAAAGAAGAAAAATTAGTAACAAATCCACCTGCAAAAATTGCTTAGGAAAGGCATTGTTAGTTGCCTTATATGAACTTGATTTATACAACAGAGATTAATCTCAGTTTGAAAGGTTTCTGAAACCTAAGATCCATAAATGCTTTTATATCTACCCCATTGTTCTTCATGCTACCAAATTAAATATACACTATGCCAAGTGCATAATGTCTTTTTCCAGGCGGCACTTTTAAGGTAAAGATTTAATTATATCAAAGACTGTGCAGGGAGTAACACAACCCAGATCATTAACATGTATAAGAAATTACTCCCTTGTTTAAAAATTTGCAGTGATGTTTGACACAGACAAAAATGACCCTTCTGCTTTGATCCTAAGTAGTGTATTATTGCCTTTTGTTTTCCTATCTACTATGCAGTACATTTAGTCAGATAGCTGTTTGAATGTATTTGGAGGAAATGTTTGAGTATTTATTGAGATTTAGAATAAAATTTTTTTTTAAAACCTAAATGTGATGCTTTGCTTGACTTGGTGTAGCATATCTCGTTTTTGTATTGAATTTATTATGTTCTTTCTCTGCCCAACACCTGAAGCCTTTGAAACATTATCAAAACATTTACAAAAGACAATGAAAATAGTCAAATGCAATGAATATATAGATAGTATGTGAAAAATATAAAACACTTCATTGAACAGTAGGCATTCAGACTTTTTTCAAACTCTAGAAAAGCCACTCAAAAAGTAATGTTTTCATTTAGCCTATATTGTCCTGAAGAAAGCATTCCATAAACAGGCCTCATCAGGACAGGGGGCTTTGCTTAAGATTTTCTAGCTTGCTACCAAAGGCTTTAATGTCAGGACCACAATATCAATGTGGACCTGTAAGTTAATAGACTGCTATCAAAGGATTGACAGAGTGGTCATATCACTTAATTCTAGTTCATAAACGTGCAGTTTTATTTAAATTAATTAAGTTTCCAAATTATCTTCTCATATGTATGCTAAGGCTGCAAAGGAGAAGTTACTGATAGAAGTGATAGCAGGATGTTAGGCCTCAAAAGAGGGACTTGGTAAATCAATCTGTTGATAACGCTTAGTTTTTTCCAATCTATGTCTTTATGATCTGTTGGACTGCAGTTCCCATACATATTGTAGCAGAAGTCCCATTATCAGTATGGCTATTGACATGAATATAAGATACCCATTCTGGTGGGATTCATGTAACTTAATACTGTACAATGTTCTTTCTAGTATTTTCAGTATTTTCTTTCTGTACATAGTGTCACATCTTTTCTGCCCCAACCCACCTAACAAGATGGAAAAGGGCAGAACTAATTTTATTTATGCAATTTTTATTGCATCCAGCATAGGAATCATTTTCACTACTACTGTATATGATTCATGTTGTCCTTTCCCGCATCTTCTCTAAATTGCTTAAACTGGGGGGCCTTAACTATACATGACATTCCAGCAGGAGTCAGGAATGGTCAGATTCAGAACCTGCATCTGTATAGGCATGATGCTTCTGGCAATATTCTTTTTTATTTTTTTCCTCCTGAATTTGCCTTTTTCTTAGCAATTGCAATCTAGATAGTTTTCATAGAGCTATCAATTATAATCCCAAACTCTTTCTTGATCAAACAATTTTTGGGGACTTAGGAAGCACACCTGAATTCAAATGGCTCTCTCATCCTGATGGCATTCCAGAACAACTTAAAGAATGTCCTAGGGCCTAGGCTTTGTAATAGGTTGGATGGAATGCCTTGTTAAGATGCATTTGTTGTACATTTTGATATTGGTGTTCCAGATTTGCCTTTTTGTTGATTTCTCTTTGTGTCTTGCATTTATCCTGATATATTTATTTATTTATAATGTGAACTGCCCAGAGTTGGTCCATATTTGGCCAGTGTCAAAATTGAATTCATTCTTTCATTAAATAGCAATCTTCAGCAAACTCAGCCACCTCATTATTTATCTCAATTGCAAATAATTTATGAATACTGTAAATTTAAAAAATCATTAATCCCAGCAATGCCCTGATCCTTCTTTTTGCAAAAGTTGACTATTTCCCCCACCCAGTCTTTGTAATTAAATTAGCTTAATAACTAATTTGACTTCTAGGTCTACTCTTGAATCTCGTGATACCTTGGTGAAAATCCCTTTGTAAATCCAATACAATTGATCTTGTAGATAATCTCTGTCCATTTTTGGTGACATTATCATGAAGAGTTTGTGAGACTGAACATATCTATGAAAGATACAATGTCCTATTTATTTATTTTTATTTGGAGTATGTAACTTTTTTTCCATTAAGGCAAGTCTAGAATCCAGGAAATATAAGCTCGTTTTAATGTCTCTGGGAAACAATAGCTAGAATCTTTGTCCTGACTCTTTCCTCCAGTGAAACAGAATTTTGATTTATTTCATAATGATTTTCAATCAAGTTAACACCAAATGAAACAATGATAGTTGCAGTGGGTCTTCCTGTTTTTAAGAATATGAATAAATGCAATGCATGATGCTTAGGAATATACTCTCTTAATAGTTCTACAAAATGGGAAAATTAACTGTGGCTTTTTCTTGCATTTGAAACACGGATGCTTTTTAGAAATATGTGGAAGATAAATGAAGTTTATAATTCAGGAGCTGGGGCCTAATCAATATTGCACGGAATCTTTTTTGAATATGAATCAGCAGGTCTTTAATTTTTTTAGTTGGTGCTATTGTTCCAACAGCAAGCTTTACTCCTATTGTCCAGTGTTTGTCCAGCTCACGTTTACTGGACTGTGGGAACGGATTAGGGTTTCATGGTTTCTTCCCCCTTCTTGCATAAATGCTTGATCAAAGACATTCCTTGGATGACAAAACACTGTATACTGTGTCACACAGTCCTGACCAGACTGCATGAACAGTAGCTTAAAAACACATGCCCACATTGTTCTCTAACAAGCTATTTCTTTTTTCTTTTTTAAAAAAGGACAACAAATTTAGATTTAGACACACTTAAAAAAATAAAGACTTAATGTGCTATTTTATATGCATACATCTATATCTCTCTTATCTGTCTTCCTTTTAATGATTGTTTCTACGAATGCAACTCCATACAGTAAAATCAAAATAGAAATAGTGAATGATTATTAAACTATACATTCATGTATTCAATTTGATAATGCCATTTTTTTAAAACCCTGATTTCATTTCAATGATTCTGAAGCAGCTTGCAACAGAATGTAGCATTTAAATGCAAAATATTTTCATGTGTCTGGTTGGAAAAGGAGCGAAGAAAAATGTTGGAATGGGAATTGGGAGTAATGTTAAAATCCCTTTCTGGTGTTTTGGTGTTATTATTATCCTCACAGCCTATAGGAAATGTGTCCTATAGGAAATGTGGAGAAAATTGCCTGTGTAATGCCTAGGAAGATTTCTGCTGACCTTCATTGGATGTAATTGTTACTAAAGCATTTTCTCCCAGTTTTCTGCCCTGTTATTGTTAGACTTGTTCAGTCATTCAGTTGTTTCCAAAACCTTGACTGTCATTTCACCAGGATTGTTTGTCAGTAACTCTTTGAATTATAAGCACATGTTTGTGTCATTGGTTATAGTAACTATCCATCTTGTTTTCTGTTGGAGTCTTTAATTCCCCCCCCCCCCACACTGATGTAAAGAAGACATCAGTGTCATCTTTAATGACTATAATCTTTGCATTAGGTGTCCAACATAGGTAAAGCTTTCTTACTAATGACTGTTGAACTATAACTCATAATTCTTAGACTGACCATTGTTGTGCTGGCTGGAAATGTTGAAACTGTAATCCAACCCATTAGGATGAACCTATAAAAATAAAGGCTTGATCTAGGAAGATGAGCTTTTTCCTTGGGTGCGCTAGTTGGAATTCCTTGGACAGTTCCTGTGACATGGAATAAATAAGTCTTGTGTGCAGTTTCAAAAGATTTTTCTAGTTATAAAAACTGCTAAGGACAGAAATATAGAAAATGACCCATTCCTAATGATAATAATTATGTTAATAATGCTGTTTTGCTGATAATAAGTGGAGATGTGTAATTTGAAACAGTAGTTTCAAGTCTGAATGTGTTCTGACTTTACTAAAAATGTTTTGATGCTGTTCCAATCATTCTCCATGTGTTTCAATTCAAGTTCCAGACGGGTATTTTGAAGTTGAAGCTGAGCTACCCAAGCTTGGGATGGAATGTACTCTGCCATTCATGTGTCAGTTTTGCAGTGAGCATTTGGCTTATGCACGTAAAGATGCAAGATGATTACCACACGTAGAAAGTCTTCGTATCTTCCTTTTGAATACGTGGGAGTGTTTTAAATTGAATCCAGGAAAGGCTGAACAGATTTATACAAATATTTGTGTTAGTTCTTTACATTTGATTTAAATGCAAATGATTTGGTTTCAGATTGGTCAGACAAAATATTGGCAGTGAAATGTACAGATCAAATACTGATTGCAAATACGGAATATCACTTGGTTTCCATTATTTTAGTCACAATTTCAAACTGTATTTTCGGGGCAGATATAGACAGCTGGACTTTTAAAAATTAACTGGGCTGCAAGTTACTATCCAAGACCAGAGGTACTACAGTGCATGAGTCTAGAAACATTTCCTGGTCCCCATTTTTAGTCAGTGACAGTGCTGCTTCTGTTCTTGCATCTGTGGTAACTGCTTCCTCCTGCCTTTCTCTACAAATGTTAGCCTGGATGAGTGAGCAGGTGAAATAAAAGTCTCTGTTACTGATACCAGGTCTGCAGCTGGTAGAGGCAGGGAAAGTGTGGTATAGATACTTCTATACAGCAATCCCATGTTAGAAATGGAGTAACAGAGTTGGGAGAGACCTTGGAGGTCTTCTAGTCCAACTCCCTACTTAGGCAGGAAAGTCTATACCATTTCAAACAAATGGTTATCCAATATCTTCTTAAAAACTCCCCATGTTGGAGCATTCACAACTTCTGGAGGCAAGTTGTTCCATTGATTGTTCTGTCAAGAAATTACTCCTTAGTTCTAGGTTGCTTTTCTCCTGGTTTAGTTTCCACCCATTGCTTCTTCTGCCCTCAGGTACTTTGGAGAATAGCTTGTCTCCCTCTTCTTTGTGGCAACCCCTGAGATATTGGAACACTGCTATGTCACCCCAGTCCTTTTCATTAAACTAGGCATACCCAATTCCAGCAACCGTTATGTTTTAGTGTCCAGTCTCCTAATTATCTTTGTTGCTCTTCTCTCTTTCTAGAGTCTTAACATCTTTTTTACATTGTGACAATCAAAACTCGATGCAGTATTCCAAGTGTGACCTTACCAAGGCATTATAAAGGGGTATTAAAACTACATGTGATCTTGTTTCTATCCGTTTATGCAGCCTAAAACTGTGTTGCCTTTTTTGGCAGCTGCAGTACATTGCTGGCTCATGTACTTTGTGGTTCCAAAACTGAACAGATCTTGTTATGCTTGAACAGAGAAAGTGCTGCATCTGAGTGCTACTGGCATTTTACT